CCCCTAGTCCCCCAACCCCTGACAAGCCCCAGTGTGTGATGTTCCCCTCCCTGTGCCCGTGTGTTCTCATTGTTCAACACCCACTTACGAGTGAGAACATCGGTGTTCGCTTTTCTGTTTGAACTTTTTAAATCGATCCCTCCCTGTTCTCCCCCCGCAGATAAGCAACCATGGTAATGCCTCGACATCTCCTTGTCTGTATGTGTTCCTGCAGAATGCATATGGGTGTTGGGCACGAGTGTATTTTAATTCACGTAGAAGCTAACATTCTTGCTCCACTGCAGCCCGCTGTTGAACGTCTCAGAATGAATGGTGTTAGGGAATTCAACGCCCCACTCTTTCCCGCCAATTCTCCCACATACAATGGATCCGTGACCCCACTTTCCCAACCCCCAGGAATGCTGGCTTCTTTCTCTTTCCTTCAAGATCCCGATCCTGTCTCTCTGGCATCCCCAGCCTGAAGGGTGGGCACAGCGGGAGGAGGGGGAGGGCCAGACTTACCTGGGGCTGTTGGGATTGGATGGGGTCTCTGTCACATCATCCTGAGGAGACTGGGGGGAGTCCATGTCATCACAGTTGCCAGAGATGCTAGCGGTGTTGGGGGAGGGAACGGAGAGGGTTTTAAAGTTTTAAAATGGGCAGGGCACGGTACCTCACGTCTGTAATACCAGCACTTTGGGAGGCCAAGGCCAGTGGATCACTTGAGGTCAGGAGTTCAAGACCAGCCTGGTCAACATGGTGAAACCCCATCTCTACTAAAAATACAAAAACTAGCCAGGGGTGGTGGCATGTGCCTCTAATCCCAGTACCTGGAAGCTGAGGCAGGAGAATTGCTTGAACTCAGAGGTGGAGGTTGCAGTGAGCTAAGACTGGGCCACTGCGCTCCAGCCTGGGCAACAGAGTGAGACTTCTTCTCAAAAAAATAAATACTAATAATAATAATAAAGTTTTTTGGTTTTCGTTTTCTGAGATGGAGTCTTGCTCTGTCATCAGGCCAGAGTGCAGTGGCTCAATCTCAGCTCACTGCAATCTCTGCCTCCCGGGTTCAAGTGATTCCCCTGCCTCCCAAGTAGCTGGGACTACAGGTGTGCACCACCACACCCAGCTAATTTTTTGTATTTTAGTAGAGATGGGGTTTCACCATGTTGACCAGGATGGTGTCGATCTCCTGACCTCATGATCCACCTGCCCTGGCCTCCCAAAGTGCTGGGATTACAGGCGTGAGCCACCGCGCCCAGCCAATAATTAAGTTTGATAATAGACAGCAGCAGCCTCCCACAGCCAGGCCTGGCCCCGTGGCCCAGGGGGAGTCACTGTCCCCATACGGGAGCTGAGGGCTGTGCCCAAGGCAGGGGGTGGGGCTGGGCCAGTACTCACCACTGCCGGATGTTGGAGTCCATGGGCTTGGAGAAGACAGGGGGAGAGGTCTTGGCCACTGTGGGGTTGGGCTCGAACCCCTCTATCTCCAGGAAGAAGTGCGCACTGAGGGAACATGGAGGAAGCCCGTCAGGGCCCAGCTGGGCAGAGCCTATCAGCCTGTGTGCTGCCTCCAGCCACAGAGCGTGCCCTCATGCTGAGCACACACACCGCCAACTCCGAGCCCGCATGGCCCCGCCCAGCCCTCCTGGGAGCCCTCAGTGATGGGCACTGTCATCACCTGCATTTTACAGTTGGACACCGGGAAGCTGCCGGTCAAGTGTGAAACCCCAGAACAGGACCGAGGTGAACCCAGTTGCTGGAGAGGGTTATTTAGCCAAGGTTGAGGACACACCCGGAAATGAGACGCGACACAGTGGGGTCCGTGGCTGCACTTTCTCCTACGAGCAGGATTTTGAGGGCTTCGATATTGACAGGGGAAAAGTACGCAGGAGAGGAAGGAGGAAAGAAAAAAAAAGAGGGAGCAGGCCAGGAGCAGGGGCTCACACCTGTAATCCCAGCACTTTGGGAAGCCAAGGCAGACGGATCACCTGAGGTCAGGAGTTCGAGATCTGCCTGGCCAACATGGCAAAACCCCGTTTCTACTAAAAATACAAAATTAGCCAGGTGTGGGGGCACATGCCTATAATCCCAGCTACTGGGGAGGCTGAGGCAGGAGAATTGCTTGAACCCGGGAGGCGGAGATTGCAGTGAGCCAAGATCGCACCCACTGCACTCCAGCCTGGGTGATAGGGCGAGACTCCATCTCAAAAAGAAAAAAAGGGAAAAAAAAAGGGAGCATGGGCCACAGTCTTCTGAGGCTTTGATTCTGCTCCCTGAGTACACGTGTGGCACATGAAAAGGGGTGAGTAGAGGAAACGGTCAGTTATGGATTCATCTCTCAGTAAATCTGTGCTTCACGTAAGATAAGCATACATGCGCAGGGGAAGTAGTCAGATATGCATTTGTCTCAGCGGGAGGGCGGGTGAGGGGGGACAATTTCTAGTCTCCTCTTGTCCTGTAGCGCCAATTAGCTGTTAATTCACAAAGTCAGGGTGAGGAAGGCCTCCCGTGGAGACACGTGGCTTCTGTCTGTAAGTAGTGCAACCTGCCCAAGGTCACGCAGCAGACAGGTGGCAAAGCCCAGATTCAAAGCTGGGTCTAGGTCAGGTGCAGTGGCTCATGCCTATAATCCCAGCACTTTGGGAGGTAGAGGCGGGTGGATTGCTTGAGGTCAGGAATTTCAAGACCAGCCTGGCTGACATGGTGAAACCCTGTCTCTACTAAAAATACAGAAATTAGCTGGGCGTGGTGGCACGCACCTGTAATATCCCAGCTACTCAGGAGGCTGAGGCAGGTGAATCACAGGAGGCGGAGATTGCCGTGAGCTGAGATCGCACCACTGCACTCCAGCCTGGATGACAGAGCAGGACTCCCTCTCAAAAAAGAACAAAACAAAACAAAAACTGGGTCTGGGTGACTCTCCCTGCTGGAAGCACTCGGTGGATGAACCCGAGTCTCTACTGCAGGCGGCCGAACACGAGCCAGCTTTCCCTGTCTGCAGCTGCCTCAAGGATGGGCAGGATGGCACTGGGAGCCAGGCTTTCCCATCACCATCTAACTGCCCCCAGCCCTCGGGTCTGAAGTCGGAGCGCTTCTGAGGGGCAGTCCCTAGACTCTGAGATCTATGCGGGCCTTCCTGGCTCCTGAGGGAAAGGGAACAGCTGGAGTTATGCCTGCCCCCTTTGATCAGTACCCGTGCTGTTTGTCACAGCAGAAAACAGGGTGAAAACGGCTGACCCAGGCCGGGCGCGGTGGCTCATGCCTGTAATCAGCATTTTTGGAGGCCGAGGCGGGAGGATCACTTGAGGTCTGGCCTTGCCAACATGGTGAAACCCCATTTCTACTAAAACTACAAAAATTAGTTGGGCGTGGTGGCACACGCCTGTAATCCCAGCTTCGCAGGAGGTTGAGGCATGAGAATCACTTGAACCTGGGAAGTGGAGGTTACAGTGAGCCAAGGTCATGCCATTGCACTCCAGGCTGGGCAACAGAGCAAAATTCCGTCTCAAAAAACAAAAGACTGATCTAGAGCAGGGAGGACTTGAGGGGTCAGAGGACAGGGCTGGGAATTCCCTGTGGAGAAGGAAAACCCAGGAAGCCATCTCAGGCAGCGGAGGGGAGCGGCGGAGCGGAGGGGAGGGCAAGGGCAGCTTTCTCCTTGGGTGGGGAGAAGAGAGACAGAGGCCAGGGCCCTGTGGCCAGGCTGAGCCCCAGGGAAGGGGAGACACTGGCCTATGAGAAGCAAGACATACACCCAAGATGTGACTCCCAGCCGGACACAGCCCCAGCTCCACCTTCAGACACACCCACAAACACAGGCACCCATGTCCTTGGAAACCACAATCACACGCTCAGAGACGACAGCCAAGACTGTGAGGATCAGGCTGGGGGCGGCCTCGGTGGCAGCCGCACCCCTGCCCTGCCGCTGCTACAGGACAGCTGCAGCCTCTGTGGCCTGGCCCGGGACTGTGGCCTCCTGACCAGCGGGGCCTCTCCTGGTATACGGGGTCCTAAGCATCTCTGCTGCCTCCTTCATTCTCAGGCCCAGAAGGACCAACCTGCGCCCTTCCTTCCTCACAGGACTACAGAAGAGCTCCCAACAGGCAGTCTCAGCCACATCAGACCCAGGAGGCAGGGCAGCAGGGACGGGACTGTGGCCTCATTCTGCAGATGAGAGCTGAGGTCCAGCCTGGAGAGGCAGCTCCTCCATGGGCCCCCCAGGGTGAAAGCCAAGTTGGTCAAAGAACCTGCTTCCTGTTGTCCGGACTCACAGTCCGCACTGCAATCCATACTGCTTTGCTCCTGCCTTAGCAATCCGAGCCTTCTTCCAGATACACTAGCTCCAGGGGTTGACCACAGAGGGGAGAGTGCCTGGCACAGCCACTTCCTAGGATGGGACAAGCAAGAGAGGGACCCTGGGCTTGCCCGAGGAAGCCTTGTCCTTTCCTCCAGCACAGGAAGCCTGGAAGGGTCAGCACAAACCCAAAAATGGAGACACGCGGTGGGGAGCGTGGTCCTGGCTGACACATTGGTCCTCATTTGCCAGTCTCCTGCCCACCAGAAGCAACCTTCTGACTTGAGCTGCCAATCAAACTCTTCTTCCAAAAGAAAAGACGAAGGGAGGATTTGAACCCTTGCCTGGAAACCAAAAGCCTGGATTCTAGTCTAGCTCTGCCTCTGCTTCCTGTGTGACCCCAGAAGATCACCTGCCATCCCTGGGCCAGTCATCATCACCTGAATGGATGATGATTGGGCCAGATGACCCCTAGGGCCTGGACTCTGGAGCCAGGGCAGCTCTGGGATCGTCCTCTTAGGGAACATCCAGCTGAAGTGGGCATCAGAGGTCAACCAGTTTGATTGCCACTTCCCTGCAGCCCTGCAGTGCCCCAGGGCTTTCGCCCTAAAGTACCCTCCAGTCCACCACAGGAGCCTGACCCAGAAGCTCCCAATACATTTGATGGTGGCTGAGCCCCAAAACATCCTGGTTGAGATTTGCCAAATTATCTCCAGACACAGCTTCAAGTCCTGTACCACAGCTTTTTCCCCAAGACAGCCGGCCCAGTCCCTCCCCTGCTGCCCATCCCATACTACCTGTCTGCGTTCCTCAGTGCATTGACTCAACAAATATTTACTGTGCATCTGCAATGTGCCAGGCAGTGTTCTTGCAGTTGGGGATATAGTAGTGAACAAGTGGACAAATCTCCGTCCTTTCCAGAGCTGCTGCTCCAGTGAGTTGGTCAGAACTGACCGAGAAATAGTACTGTGAGGCCACGACTTTCCACCCTCTGCAAAATACACGATCCTACAACCGTGCATTCCTCAATGGCAGAGACCACAGTTGAATTACCTTTGATTCCCAGCACTGGTCCTAACACACATAAGACTTCATCAGTGAATGAGTGGAGTGATAGATAATTAGTGAAGGACAAGTGAGTGGAAGGAAGGATGATTGGTTGTATAGATGCCCAGATAAATGGATGAATGAATAATGGAGAGATGATAGAATGAGGGATGGATGGATGACAGATGGATAGATGATGGATGGATGAATGGATGGATGGATGCATGATGGGATGGGTATATAAGTGGATGGATGATGGATGGATGATGGGATGGAAATATGAGTGGATGGATGATGGATGAATGAATGATGGATGGATAATGGATGGCTTGATGGATGGATGGCGAGATGGGTAGGTGAGTGGATGGATGATGGAGGATGGATGATGGATGATGGATGGAGGGATGATGGATGGATAGAGGGATGGATGATGGATGGAGGGATGGTAGGATGGGTATATAAGTGGATGGATGATGGATGGATGAATGATGGATGGATGATGGATGGATGATGGATGGATAGAGGGATGGATGATGGATGGATGGATGATGGATGGATGGATGATGGATGGATGATGGATGGATGATGGATGGCTTGATGGATGGATGGCGAGATGGGTAGGTGAGTGGATGGATGATGGAGGATGGATGATGGATGACGGATGGATAGAGGGATGGATGATGGATGGATAGAGGGATGGATGATGGATGGAGGGATGGTAGGATGGGTATATAAGTGGATGGATGATGACTGATGGATGGATGATGGATGGATGGATGGCTAGATGGAGGGATGATGGATGGCTGGATGGATGGATGGTGAGATGGGTAGGTGAGTGGATGGATGATGGAGGATGGATGGATGGACAGATGATGGATGCATAGATGATGGGTAGATGCATGGATGGATGATGGATAGATAGATGAATAAATGGTTGATGGATGGATGAATAGATGACAGATGGGTGAATAAATGATAGATGGATGGATAGATAATAAGCAGTTGGGAGGGTAGGCTAGGTGGACAGGACCAATAAGCAGATAAACCAACATAACCTTAAACCAAAATATTGGGAGGTCGCATCCTTCAGGTGACTTCCGTTGTGCTCTCAGGTGTTTAAAGCCTTTACCGCTCCTAAGCCTCATTCCCGTCCCAATCTTTCACAAGAAGATGAGGGGCAGTCCTTTGTCACTGCCCTGCCTCCCTACCTACTCAAGGCCTTCTCCCAGAGTCCACAGGGGCCAAAGTGGGTCCAGAAACCTGGATCACAAGAGCTTCTATCCACTCCAGACCTGAGGCTGAGAGCCCGAGGGAAAGAAAGAAGCATTTCCCCATTGCTCCATCCAGCGTCCTTGTGCATGGGAGGGCTGTGCTCAGCCACCAGGCTGCTAGCTCACCCACTCACCCGCTCACCCACTCGTTCTCTCATTTTCCTGCCTGCTCTTTAATTTACTCATCTGCTTACTCAAAAACTAATACCTCTGTGCGGGAAACTCAGGGAGACAGAAGGGAGGAGATGAAGCTTCCAGGGCCCCAGGCTCAGAGATCTCAACCAGAGCTAAAACATCATCCCCATGACCGCATCACACTCTTCAGAGACGGGCAGGGCTATGGGAGCTCAAAGCAAGAGAAGAGCCTTCCGGCCAGGAGGGTAAAATTTGGTCTGTCTTGACACCAGCCTCTGGTTTGGGAAAAGCCCTGAAGGCAGAACGGGAGAAAATCTCGGGAGAAGGGAGGCCTGTGTCTGGAGAAGGAAGCCCTTGGCAGCTGGAGCACCAGATGTCAGAAGACAGTGAAAAGAGCAGGGCTGGGAGGACCCAGCTGTCGGGCAAGGACCTGACTCCTGTGGCAGAGCACCTGCTAGATGACGCGGGTCTGTGCTGCGCCTGCCCTCCCGGCCACTGCACGCGCCACATCCCACGCACCGTCATAAGCACGTGGCAAGGGCTCGCCCTGTGGCATCCCGGCTCCCAACCTGCTGTAGATGCTGTTTGCTTCTTCCTTCCTTCTGTCCAGACCGAAGGCCACCAGCTGGCTGTGATTGACCCAGCTGAGCAGATAGTACCATTTCTACCGCATTCCTATTCCACTGAAGTCCCAGAACTATCCCTGAGCAGCCCGGGGCTGGCAAGGAGACCGTCCGGCCATTTGCTTTGTCCTAAGAAATGCCCAAGTGCTCTGCACCCCACAAGGCCAGTACCCCCGCTACCTCCATCAGTCTGCGTCTCTGACCCTGGGCGTCACCTTTCCAGGGTCCAGGAAGGAAGCCAAGATGACAGCTCCTCTCGGGGAATGGCGGGATGGTCCAGGAGCACTCCGAGGTCCAAAGTCTCTCCCTGCTCCACTCTCCCCCAGTGCCTTTGACTCCGCCATTAGCGCCTGTTTCCTTAGGGGTCCACATTGTCCTCTTTCTTTACCTATAATTTATTCTTTTTTTCTTTTTCTTTTTCTTTTGAGACAGGGTTTTGCTCTGTCGCCCAGGCTGGAGTGCAGTGGCACAATCTCAGCTCACTGCAACCTCCGCCTCCTGGGTTCAAGCAATTCTCCTGCCTCAGCCTCCTGAATAGCTGGGATTACAGGCGCCCATGACCACGCCTGGCTATTTTTTGTATTTTTAGTAAGGACGGGGTTTCTTCATGTTGGCCAGGCTGGTCTCAAACTCCTGACCTCAAGTCTTCCACCCGCCTCGGCCTCCCAAAGTGCTAGGATTACAGGCGTGAGCCACCGCGCTGGCCTTTAATTTATTCTTTTCTTTTTCTGTTTCTCTCTAGGACCAAGCCCTCTACTCAGTTCTGAGGGGAATGTCCAAACCTTCACATGAGGGCCCTCTGAGAGCCTTTGGGTGGAGGAGTGGACACCAATTCGGGCGGCAAAGGTCACAACACACTCGGCCCTGGCGGGGCTGAGGCTTTGCAGAGCCGAGCCCGGAGCTGAGTCTGTGAAGCGGGGGATAGGCTCAGACAAGGCGGCCTGACGGGTCCTGCCGAGGAAGGAACCCGGAGTTTTCCCGGAACTCTGTCCTCCACTTCTTCCCGAGGTCCAAACCTCCCCTGGAAGAGGGAGGGGGAGGGGGAAGGGTGAGAGAGCAGGGAGCTGGTCCTTGCCAGCCTAGCTCAGGGATGTCTCTGCCCTTTCCTGGACAAGCCCACCCAGACCAGGCTGCCCCCATGGCCCCACGCGACACCTGTCTGGTCTCCACTTCCATGCAGTCTTCCCTCTTGCATTCCAAGACGGAGCCTCCACCTGGCTGCCCCTCAGGCACCTCTTCCCCAGCATTTTACAGCTGAGCCTGGCTCGCTCCTCCTGGCCAGATCTCCTCTGCTGCCTGTGTCAGAGACGGCCCGCCTTCCCTCCGGGCCCTCTTGCTGGGATTCCTCCTTCTCGATTACCTCGATTACCTCAATTACCTCCCGTGGCGGACCCCGCAGACCCCGTGATGCTGACACCTCTCTGTGCTGCCCCACCGTTTTACCCCTGAACAGCCAGGCTCAGCCATCACCACCTATCACCTGGGCTTCAAGGCCTCCTCATGGTCTCCCTGCTGTCAGCCTCTCCTCCAATCCGTCACTCACGCAGATCCCCCAGGGTCACCTCTCCAAAATACAAATCTCGCCATGCCCTCCCTCCCACAAAAAAGCCTTCCATGGCTCCCACTGCCCTCAGGATCGTCCAGGTTCCTTGACTGACCCCCAAGACCCAGCTCCAATGGCACTCATCTCCCCAGAGAGGACTCCACTGCCCAGCATTCCAGCCACACCACACTCCCCACCTCAGTGGCCCTGCCCTGAGCACTGCTCCCCATCCCTCTGCCCCCAGATGCACTTTCCCTTCTGCTCCACATCCTCTCTAGCACCACCTCCTCCAGGAAGTCCCCTGAGACTGCCTACAGGATCAGAGTAACCTGCCGCTCTTCAGGCCCCACTGGCTGGTTCACCTCTCTCTGGGTGCTTCCCACCGTCTCCTTGACTCCCGTTCTGCCAGACTGTGAGCATCCATGGGCATTTTCTCTCCATGTCTAAACTCCTGATCCTGAGCCCAACCCCAGGGCTGGTACACAGGACATCTCAGTGATTATAACTCCAACTAACAGGGGAAGCACCGAGCTCACTCCTGGCCCAAAGCGGGCCCGGGATACAGGCAGAGGGGGCAGGGCCACCCCAGGTTCAGGGGACACACAAGTGAACTGGTTGGCAGACAGCTGGAGAAGCACCAAATCAGCTGGGGGTGCAGAATCTATGCTGCAGGCCATGGAGGGGTGGGACGGGTGACCCCAGAGAGGTCCTTTCTCTGCTCGAGGCCTCCTCCGTGTCCCCAGCCAAGAAGAAAAGCTGATCATCCCAGCCCTGCCCTGTTCCCAGAGGCCCCGTGGAGTGAGGGCAACAGTGAGGATGGTGACAGTAACAAAAACACTCAGTGCCGACACGTGCCGAGCGCAGACGCGTGCCAGGGCTGCACTGCGCGCTGTGCTGACTTGATCCCAACCAATGGTCACCCTGTCGTTGGAGCCGTTGCTGGTGTCCCCCTTCCAAACTTGGGGGCGAACAGCTCGAATAACCTGACTGCTGCACAGTGGATGGAACGCCTCGGTGTGTGGAGACCGCGCCTGGCAGAGGTCCAGGTCACCCGGAACTTCTACCCGGCATTTTGCTCCTGCATCACAAGGACGGCTCCAGCCATCCCTCACCTCCCTCGGGAGCCCCCCGGACGGCGCCTGCCTCAGCGACCCCGATCCCTCCACGGAGGCTTCCCTGACCATGCCAGTCCATCTGACCACCAGAGTGCCCTGTGCTCTTCCCGTGCCACCCTCAGCCATACCTCGCCGGACGCCAAGCCACCCCAGGCAAGCTGAGTGTCTCGGGTCTCCCCAAGGCAAGGGCTCCCTGGGGTGCCAGGACCCTGCTGGTGCCCCTCACAGGATCCCAGCCCCGGGCCTTCCAGACCCACCTCTTCTTTGTGGGGGTGGTCTCCGCCGGCCTCTTCTCTGTCAGGACGGCAGGATTCCCACCGGGGGCAGCGACTCTCCTGCCCATGAGAGGCACCATCTCCTTGGGGTAGGCATTCATGGCTGGAACACAACCACAGGGCAGATACTCAGGCCGAGGGGATGGGGGGAGCTTCCAGGGCTTAGGACCTGCATGTGGCAGCATCCAGCTCCCAGTCACACTCCCTAGGACAGGAAGCTCACTTCTCCCTTCCCAGTTCACCAACCTTTCTTCAAAGACAGAGAAGCTGTCCCCAACCCTTCCCCAGCTCCCTGCTCCAGCACCCCTGATGCTACGGACCACCATGGTGATCCCGTAGAGACCCCCAGGCTCCCAGCCTCTCTCAAGACACCACCTCCAGCCGACCAGTCCCCAGGCGGACTCCTGAGCACTGGCCCTGCTTTCTTGAGGTCCCTCTCAGAATTTGTGTTCAGAGCAGCTCTCAAAGAGGTTTGACCTTCACAGAGCAAGATTATCACCTCCTTTGCTCTAGATGTTATGCTCCTAATAACACAGCTTCAAGCTCCTCGGGTGTTTTGGATTCCCCAGTGCCCAGGTGGTCTCTGCAGCCAACACAGTGATCATCTCCCCCACCCACCCAAAGCTGCATGGAACCGGCTGATGGCTGGCTGTCCATGAGACTCGCCTCTCACCTGCAGGGAGCAGCTGAGTCCCCCGGCCCCAAGCGGAGGAGGCTGACCCCTCAGTCCAGACCTGCTTTACTGATGTTCAGTATGGGCTGAGCTTGGAGGGGTGTGCAGACTGGGGAAGAGGGACCGATACATCTTCCAACAAGACCTGGAGAGATCTTACAGGCTGCTGTGTGGACAAGGGGCAGGCGGGCAGAGGGCACAGCCTGGGTGGGGGGTCAGGAGTGGCAGGCGCGGCAGGAGCTGCTGCGGCTGGAGAACCTGGGAGCCCACAGGGACCCCGCCAGCGAAAGGCGTGCAGGCAGGTTGGGCCTCGTGAAGTCTTCAAACGCCACATAAAAGCTGTGGCTTTAGCCAGACGCAGTGGCTCACGCCTGTAATCCTGGCACTTTGAGAGGCTGAGGTGGGCAGTTCGCCTGAGCTCAGGAGTTCAAGACCAGCCTGGGCGACATAGCGAAACCCCATCTCTACTAAAATACAAAAAATTAGCCAGGCATGGTGGTGCACGCCTATAGTCTCAGCTACTCAGGAGGCTGAGGCAGGAGACTTGCTTGAACCCAGGAGGTGGAGGCTGCAGTGAGCAGTGGTTGTGCCGCTGTACTCCAGCCTGGGCCACAGAGCAAGACTCTGACTCAAAAAAATAAATAAAATTTTATTAAACATTAAAAAAGAGCTGCGGCTGATCCCCGGGGGCTGCTAGGAGTTGGGTGCAGGGGTTCAGGGGCTCTGGGTTACACAGGAGAGAGCAGGCTACGCTGGAGGGTGCAGACCAGAAGCCAGGGGCCGGGAGGAGGCTGCTGAGGCGGCCATAGGGACGGGGAAGGGGGCGGCTGGCCACAGGGGGATGACATGGGCGGGGAAAGGTGAACAGGTGGTAACTCTGCAGTCAGGGGGTGCCATTCTCAGCTTGAGTCACCCTCAGGGAACTCACCTGGAGACACACAGGTAGGGGCAGAAAGATGTATTCCTATAAGAAGAAGCCAGCCGGGTGGGGTAGAACTGGGGCCACTGGACAACCTACCCCAATAGGAAGGCTTCCTGGAGGAAGTGTCTGGAGCCGAGCCAGGTGTCAGCAGGCTGGAGAGAGTCCCCCGCCCTCCAACTCAAAGGGAGCAGGCCCAGGACGGGGGCAGCAGTGGCGAGGGGAGCTTGGGCCCTGAAGAGTGGGCACCCTGAGACCAGGCAGGGGAGCAGTCCTCGGGGAGGGAAAGCTGGGCACCAGCCCTGCCATGTCCAGTCCTGGCCTGATGAGGGTGGGGCAGCCTCTGCGGCTTCCCAGCCCTGCCATGTCCAGTCCTGGCCTGATGAGGGTGGGGCAGCCTCTGCGGCTTCCCCAGCCCTGCCATGTCCAGTCCTGGCCTGATGAGGATGGGGCAGCCTCTGCGGCTTCCCCAGCCCCACGTGGCCTGTGGGGGACTGAAAGGCTAGGACGCACCAAGCAAGGAGGCAGAGGACGGACGTGTCTCTTGCCCCTCTTTGGACCTCGGGTTTCGTTTCTAAAAAGTGGGCAAAAAGGTCCCCAAGGACGCCATGGCCCTGCCAGCTGGTTGCTCTCTCCCTTCCCTGGGCCCACGAATGTGCACGGCCCCGGGCAGCTGCGGCAGGAGAGGCTCAGGGAACCCCGGACCAGGGCCACGGCAGCTGCCATTAGCTCCCTGAGTCACCCTGTAAACCCTGCGTTCTCACCTGCTAGAGTCTCTCATGCCCTGACCCTCCCTCTCTCTCCCAGTCCCTGACACTGAAATGGCCTTTGCTGGGCGACAGAGCAGGCCTCGGAGCCACAGCTGCTGACTCAGCCCCTGTGAGATGCTGGCCGGTCCCTCTCCCACTGTGGGCCACCTCCTCCCATCCTGAATTCCCATCGCTCTCCTGCCGCAGAAAGTCACATCCCTGGGCTGGCCTGGGGAGCCAGGAGCCTCACCACTGCCCCTCAACGGAGGTGATACTGAGATGTTCTCCCTCCCTCCCCAGGATTCCCAAACCTCAGAGAAACACGCCTGAGTCCGTAGGGACCTGTATCCTCACACACCCCTGCAGCCGAGAGCTCACGGCTTTGCTTTTCTTGCTGGGGCCCGAGCTCCTTCCAACCCTCCTCCTAAGGCCTATTGGCCAAGGGCAGACACAGCCCAGAGGACCTCTGGGGGCCGCACTCTGGGCTCCCCAGGGGTCTTGGAGATCAGCAGCTGCCTCGTGCAGGGAGGACTCACCTGGTGAGGTTCTGGGTGGTCGTGGCAACACTTGCTCTGAGATCACCGCATGTCCGGGGCCCAAGGCCCCCGGGTGGGACTGTGTCTGGGGCGCTGGGAAGCTGTCATGGCAGGCAGAGGGATGGCTGGAATGAGGCGTCAGAGGCAGAACTGGCTGGGCCACCTGCCCTAGGCACCAGGCGGGCCACACCCACCAGCCACAGCTGCAGCTCCCTCCCGCCCACGTGGCCTGTGTGAGTCACCCCCACACCCACACAGCAGCCTCACCCCCACCGGCGAAAAGGCACGGGAGGCACCAGGTGCCAAGGTCAAAGCTCTGGGTCCAACTCGTCCTGCTCTGGCATTTGATCCCGGTCGGGTACATCCCATCACAGGCCTCAGTTTTCCCACCTAGGAAATGGGAATCATAATACCTGCTTTCCGAGGATGCCATGAAGAGGGGAAGAGATCACAGGGGTGGGAGGGCTTAGTGGAGGGTCAGCGCTCTGCGCTGTCCTCTGAGAGAGACTGCCTGGCTGACTTCAGGGCGCCTAGCCCCAGGACTCCGCCCTCGTCCGTTCCGGTATGACCAGGCACAGTGGCTCACGCCTTTAATCCCAGCACTTTGGGAGGCTGAGGCGGGCTGATCACAAAGTCGCAAGTTTGAGACCAGCCTGACCAACATGATGAAACCCCGTCTCTACTAAATTTACAAAAATTAGCTGGCGTTGTGGCGGGCGCCTGTAATCCCAGCTACTCGGGAGGCTAAGGCAGGAGAATCACTTGGACCTGGGAAGCAGAGGTTGCAGTGATCTGAGATCGTGCCACTGCACTCCAGCCAGGGAGACAGAGTGGGACTCCCTCTCAAAAAACAAAAGTCAGTTCCTGGGATGAGGCCTCTGGGGACAGAAGTCCCCATTTAACGCTTTCCACCAGCAGCCACGCCTCACAGGCCTCAGTGTCCACCTCATCCCTTCCTGGCTGTCTGATCTTCACAAGTCATTTCTCTGAGCCTCAGTCTCCTCATCTGTGAAATGTGCTTCATAAACCCACTTTGCAAGGTTGCCATGGGGCTTCAACAAGTGCAGGTAGAAAGGGCCAGAGCAGGCCAGGCACAGTGGCTCACGGCTGCAATCCCAGCAC